CTGTCTCTCCCTCCCACTCTACCAGAACAAAAAAAAAAAAAGGAAAAATGTCCTCGGGTGAGGATAAAAAAAAAAAAATCTTAAAGGAAGCAAGAGAGAGACAGAAAGTTACCTACAAGGGAGCTCCCATTAGATTGTCAGCTGATTTCTCAATAAGAAATGATGCAGGCCAGAAGGGAGTGGCATGAAGTGTACAAAGTAATGCAAGGCAAGGGTCTGAATCCAAAACTACTCTATCCAGCAAGGCTATCATTCAAAATTGAAAGTGAAATAAAGAGCTTCACAGGGAAAAAAAAAAAGCTAAAGGAATTTACCACCACCAAACCAGCACTGGAAGAAATGCTAAAGGGACTGTTTTCAGAAGTAGAAAAAACAAAGAGAGAGAGACAGAGAGAGAGAGAGAGAGAAGGAGGAACACAGACATAAAATTAAAATGGCAACTAATAACTATTTATCACTAATTACCTTAAATGTAAATGGCTTAAATGCTCCAATCAAAGGCACAGGGTAGCTGATTGGATAAAAAAACATGACCCGTATATATGCTGTCTACAAGAAACCCACCTCACAACAAAAGACTCACACGGGATGAAAGTGAAGAGATGGAAAAAATTCTCCAAGCAAATGGAAATGAAAAAAAAGCTGATGCAGCAATACTCATATCTGACAAGATAGACTTCAAAATGAGGGCCATAATAAGAGACAGAGAAGGTCACTACATAATATTAAAAGGAGCAATACAACAAGAGAACATATACACACCAAATACGGGAGCACCAAAATATATTAAAAAACTTCTGGAGGACTTCAAGAGAGAGATCAATAGCAACACGACCATAGTGGGTGACTTTAACATGCCACTGACACCACTGGATAGATCTTCTAGACAAAAAATTAACAAGGACATAGAGTCCTTACAAGACGAACTAGATCAGTTGGATTTCATTGATATTTACAAAACATTTCACCCCAAAGCTGCAGAATATACATTCTTCTCAAGTACACATGGGTCATTCTCAAAGATAGACCACATGTTAGGACACAAAGCAAGTCTCTACAAATTCAAGAAAATTGAATATCAAGCATCTTCTCAAATCACAGTGGCATGAAACGAGAACTGAATTACAATAAAAACACACAAAAATATTCAAAAACTTGGTGGCTAAATATCATGTTATTAAACAACAAATGGGTTACAAACAAGATCAAGGAAGAAATTAAAAACTTCCTGGAGACCAATAAAAACGAACACACAACAACGCAAAATCTATGGGACACAGAGAAAGCAGTCCTGAGAGGGAAGTTCATAGCACTACAGGTCTACGTCAAGAAACAATAAAAATTCCTAATAGACGCTCTAACCCCACAATTTAAAGAACTAGAAAGTAAACAAAGAGAAAAACCCAGAGTTGTAGGGGGAAGGAAATAGTAAAGGTCAAAGTAGAAATAAACGACATAGAGACTAAAAAAAACAATTCAAAAGATATATGAAACAAAAAGCTGGTTCTTTGAAAAGATAAACAAGGTCGATGGACCATTAGCCAGACTCACCAAGAAACAAAAAGAGAGAAACCAAATAAACAAAATTAGAAATGAAAGAGGAGAAGTTACAACTGACACCACAGAAATACAAAGGATCATCGAAACACTATGAATAATTATATGCCAACAAATTGGACAATCTAGGAGAAATGGGCAAATTTCTAGAAACACACAGCCTCCCAAAACTAAACCAGGAATAGAGAGAAAACTTAAACAGACTAATAACAACAAAGAAAATTGAAGATGTAATTAAGAAACTCCCAGCAAACAAAAGCCCAGGCCCGGATGGTTTCACAGGGGAGTTTTACTGAATATTCAAAGAAGATCTAATACCCATTCTCCTCAAACTATTCCAAAATATCTAAGAAGATGCAACACTTCCAAACTCATTTTATGAGGCCAGCATAGTCCTAATTCCAAAACTGGATAAAGACACTACAAAGAAAAAACTACAGACCAATATCCCTGATGAACACAGATGCCAAAATCTTTAACCAAATATTAGCAAATCGGATCCATCAATACATCAAAAAAATTATTCATCATGACCAAGTGGGTTTCATCCAAGGATGGTACAATTATTTGCAAATCAATAAATGTGATACACCACATAAACAAAAGAAAAGATAAAAACCATATGATCATATCAATAGATCCTTAAAAAGCATTCGACGAAATCCAGCACCATTTCTGATATAAACTCTCAGCAATGTGGGAATAGAGAGATCATATCTCAACATAATGAAGGCCATATATGAAAGACCTACAGCTAACATCATATTCAATGGGCAAAAACTAAAAGCATTCCCCTTAAGAATGGGAACAAGACAGGGATGTCCACTTTTACCACTCTTATTTAACATAGTACTGGAAGTCTTAGACACAGTTATCAGACAGGAAGAAAAAATAAAGGGAATCTGAATTGGAAAGGAGGAATGGAAACTGTCATTATTTGCAGATGACATGATATTGTACATAGAAAACCCTAAAGACTCTATCAAAAATCTACTACAGTAAATGAATTTGGCAAAGCAGCAGGATACAAAATTAACATCAAGAAATCGACGGCATTCTTTTTTTTTTTTTTATCCTCACCCGAGGATATTTTTCCATTTTTTGTACAGAATGAATGGGAGGGAGAGAGAGGAAGGGAGAGAGAGTGAGAAACATCGACGTGAAGGGACACATCGAGTGGCTGCCAGGGCCGGGGACAAACTGCAACCAAAGTACGTGCCCTTAGCGGGAACAGAACCCGGGTCTCTCCGGACCGCAGGCCGACGCTCTAACTGCTGAGCCAAACTGGCCAGGGTTCGACGGCATTCTTATACACCAATGATGAACTCACAGAAAGAGAAACTGAAAAAACAATCCCATTTACCATCGCAGCAAAAAAAATTAAGATACCTAGGAATAAACTTAACCGAAGAAGTAAAGGATCTTCACAGAAAATTACAGGACATTGAAAAAAGAAATAGAGAAAGATATAAAAAAGTGGAAGCACATACCTTGTTCATGGATTGGAAGAATTAACATCATTAAAATGTCCATACTACCCAAAGCAATCTATAGATTCAATGCAATCCCCATCAAAATACCGACATACTTCACAGAACTAGAACAAACACTCCAAAAGTTTATAGGGAACCATAAAAGTCCCCGAATAGCCACAGCAATCTTGAAAAAGAAGAACAAAGTAGGAGAGATCACATTACCATATTTCAGGTTATACTACAAAGCCACTGTAATCAAAACAACCTGGTACTGGCACAGGAACAGGAGGATAGATCAATGGAACAGAACAGAGAACCCAGAAATGGACCCAAGACAATATGCTCAATTAATATTTGACAAAGGTGGCAAGAGCATACAGTGGAGTCAAGACATTCTATTCGATAAATGGTGTTGGGAAAATTGAACAGCTACTTGCAAAAAAAATGAAGCTAGACCACCAATTTATACCATACATGAGAATAAACTCAAAATGGATAAAAGACTTAAATGTAACTCGTGAATCCATAAAAATTCTCGAAGAAAATGCAGACAAAAGAATCTCAGACATTGTACGCAGCAGAATTTTCACTGATACAACACCTAAGGCAAGAGAAACAAAGGAAAAGGTGAACACATGGGACTACATCAAACTACAAAGCTTCTGCACAGCAAAAGAAACAAGCATCAAAACGGAAAGGGATCCCACTATATGGGAAACCATAATCGTCAATGATTAATTCCAAAATATATAGAGTGCTCATACAACTCAACAAAAAGAAGACCAAAAAACCCAGTTAAAAAATGGGCAGAGGAACTAAATAAACACCTCTCCAACCAGGACATACAAATGGCCAAGAGACATGAAAAAATGCTTAATGTTACTAATCCTCAGAGAGATGCAAATTAAAACAACTGTGAGGTATCACCTTACACCTGTCAGAATGGCCACCATCAGCAAATCATCAAACAAGTGTTGGCGAGGGTGTGGAGAAAAGGGGACTCTAGTACACTGCTGATGGGAATGCAAACTGGTGCAGCCACTGTGGAAAACACTGTGATGTTACCTCAAAAAGTTAAAAATTGAACTTCCATTTGACCCAGTGATCCCACTTCTAGGAATATACCCTAAGCAACCTGAAACACCAATCAGAAAGAATATATGTACCCCTATGTTCATAGCAGCACTATTTACAATAGCTAAGATGGAAACAACCCAAGTGTCCATCAGTAGATGAGTGGATTAAAAAGCTGTGGTACATGTACACAATGGAATACTATGCAGCTGTAAGAAAGAAAAATCTCTTATCCTTTGAGATGACATGGAAGGACCTGGAGAGTATTATGTTAAGCGAAACAAGCCAAGCAGAGAAAGACAAATATCACATGATCTCACTTATTTGTTAAATATAACGAACCAAACAAAGTAATGAACAAAATTAACCCAGAGACATAGAGGTGGGGTACAAACTGAAAAACCTCAGAGGAGGGGGGGTTGGGGGAAGAGATAAACCACAGAACTTACATGCATGTATGCATGACCAATGAACATAGACAACAAGCCTGGGGATGGGGTGGGGGGAAGGGAAGAGGGTGTCAATAGGGGAAAAATGATAAACATCTGTAACAAAAACAAATTAATAAAAGATAAATAAATAAAAAGAAAAAATAATTTAAAAAAAGAAAACAGAGTTTGCTTAAAGAATTCAGATACTATTTTAACATTTATTCAACATTTATCATCACTTATAATGAATAAAGAAATACTAAGAAATTTGAAAGATGAGGAAACAGCTTCTAAATGGTATCAAAACAAAATTAATCCACTATGCAAAAATCAGAGAAATATAAATTACGTGACATTCACTAGAAAAGTTAGTGAATGCTACTTAAGGTCATGATAACTGTCAATATGTTAATGGACAGAGAAAATAACAAAGCTGCCATAGTGGGAAAATTTGATAACTTACCTTGATGACGTCTTCTGGCCATGCATTAAGAATGGAAGCAATATGTCCTCGATCATGGATACTAATAAAAAGACCTCTGACAGAAAAAAGGGGAACAATTTTAATTTACTTCAGACTTGGCAAACTATCATGAACATTTAAACATTTTTTCATATCAGTTTAATGTATCTCCATTTTTATCAAACTAGTGAAAATTATTTCCTTAAATAATAGATATCTTATGTGGAAGAAATTACTTTAAACAATATATTGACATCCATAATAAAGGTACATTCATTTTACTATTATATAGTCTTAAATATTTTTAACTAATGAAATATTCATTATTTTATATACATAGAATTTAAATAGCATTATCAATTCCTCTCACAGATTCATTTACAGTCTTTCATTAAATAATACGTATAAAAGCCCTTCGAAGAACAACATGAAACATGCAAACAAGCATTTTCAGTGTCTATTCCAGTTATTAAATATTCTCAGTGTGGAGGTGAGAACATGTATTAGCAATGACTGAAGTTGCTGATAATGCTGAGTGGTCCTTTCAGGTGGAACTTACTTGATTCTTTGATTTGTGTTCTTCATTGCTATTTGCAATGTTGTTATTTAGACTCTCAACTGAAGCCTTTAACATTTCTCACCCCCTAATCCCACAGTTCCAATGAAAGCCTAACAAGTAACCTTAAACATTAAGATAATAATTTTATAAATTTCTTATACTTATTTAAAAGTTTTACTTTAGTATTGTTAAACATAACTATAGAAAACTATATACAACAAATGTACAGCTTAATAAATTGTTATAAGGCATCCACCCTTCTACATAATATCCACTGAAGCAGAGAAAATCTTGTCAGCTACCCAGAAGCCCTCTAACATGTTTTCTCCCAATCAAATCTCTTCTCTCCAAAGAGTAAACACTCTCCTGACTTCTATGGTATAATTTCCTTAGTTTATAGTTTCATCAAATAAATAACAAACCATCCCTATATACTACTGTTTAATTTGTCTGGTAAAGTTTCCCCAAATTGGATTTTGCTGATTGCATTTCTATAGTACAGATTTACATGTTAATCTTCATTCTACAGTTCTTGGAAAATTGGTAACTGAATTTAAAAGTTTAATCAGATTCTTCCGTTTTTTCATGACACTTCATGGTTTGGTGTTATCAGAAGATGCATATTATCTTGTAGTCCTTTTTGTGATTTTAATAGCTGCTGATGAATAATATCTAAATTCATTAATTCACAGTGGTGATATTCCAATTCTATCCATCATTATTTATTAACTGGAACACTTCCTTTTTTTTTCATTAAATTTGTTGGGGTAACACTGGTTAATAATGTTACATAGGTTTCAAGTGTACAATTCTATGATACATCATCTGTATATTGCATTGTGTGCTCACCAAAAGTAGTAACAGGTAAAGGGGGTCAAATATACAGTGACAGAAGATTTTACTTTGGGCAAATACTCCTTTAAAAAGAAGCTTCACCATACCTATTGTTTGATTACCCTATGACAAAATTATATAAAAAAAGGATAAATGCTTGATTCTTCCTCTTGTCAGTTTTTTAAAAAAGAATGCATTTGCCAGAATCCTTCAAGAGTTTCCACTAAGGAGTTTAGGTAGGTAGGTAGGTAGGTAGGTAGGTAGGTAGGTAGGTAGGTTTGTTGTGTGTGTGTGTGTGTGTGTGTGTGTGTTGGATCAATATGAATGCATAGATTTAAACATATTTTGTCTTACTCCATTATAGTTATTTTCTTTATAGAAACCAATAGTGGCATTTTTAGCCAGTGGAAGATTCTTCACATTGGCCCCTGAGCCTTTTTGACAGCTTTCCTGTCTCTGTTATGATAAAGTATTCCATTTTATCTTGAAAATGTTTGCCCCAGGCCAAAATGAGCCACTTCTCTAAGAAGCACTGGTTTCTTTTAGTAGAAAGTGATATTTCAAGACCAAATCTAGGTAATAGGAATTCCTACCACTACTAGATGATCTAGGTATTGTTATTTTAAAAAATTACAAAACAAAGTTAAAATTCACTTCCTATTTATGGCTAGACATCTCAAATTGGCACTCTTCTCTTGTGAAGTTTTCCACTGATTTCCTAGCAAATTCAACTTACCACTCCCTGAGAGGACCTTCATGCCTCTTTTCTCCTCACCTCTCCCGCACCCATCTCTTTCTCACTCTCAGTTGATAACCGAATCTTAAATTTCAAACAGAAATAGATGCAATAGGGTGAAAACTACCTCATCTTCCTAAAATAAACTCCACTAACCCATATGCATCTTTTATTTAAAGACTATTTTTAGAGCAGTTTTAGAATCACAGCAAAACTGAAAAGATGGTACAAAGATTTCCTATATACTCTCTGTCCTTACACAGGTAAAGCCTCCTCCATTATCAACATTCTCCACCAGAGTGGTATATTTGTTACAACTGATAAAGCTACATTGACACATCATTATCATCCAGAGTGCATAGTTTCCATTAATGTTCACTCTTTGTGTTGTACATTCTATGGGTTTGGACAAATTTACAATGACATACTGCTATAAACATTTGTGTGCATGTTTGTGGGTGGACATAAGTTTTCAACTCATTTGGGTAAATACAGCAGGACCTCAGATAATATTGTTTAGTTCAACACTGATGAGAAAAAAAAATCCATTCTCAGTCAGGACCACTGTCTGCGTGGAGTTTGTATGTTCTCCCCCAGTACACATATACGCACAAAGAAGCAAGTTCCTTAAGCACAGATGCTCCATGTTGCTCCCATTATTAACCTTAATGCCGACATATATACTGGCACAGAGTATGTGCCCAACAATGTGCTCTGACTTCAGTACTAAAAAATAAGGCTTCTGTAGTCAATTTTTAAGTATGGAAAAGATGAAATAAACCCAGACTTACACTGATTAAGTAATCAAAAATTATATGATGACAGTAAGTGCTACAGGCAGATTACTGATGACTGTATAATTCAACAAAAATATTAACTTACCAATTTGGCACTAAATTATATCCTTTCCTGTTTTGTTTTGTTTTTACTGTTTCATATTAATTTGTTTCTCAAAATGATTATAAGCTCTTTATAAGTTATGTGTTTCTTTTGGATCCCTATCATATCCAACTCTGCAATCAAAAAGACCTCAATAAATAATTATAAAATTAGAATGAAATGTATTTGGACTTTTAAAATACGGCATTTTTGTTGAATCATCTAAGATGTTCTTGGCAGTGTAACATTAAATAGTATTCCTTGGGAACTTGTCAGTTAGCCAAGGTTTTCTAAGTAACACTCATCTGAGGAAACAGTATCATTTTCTTAAAACAAGAGGGATAAAGAATGATACTAAAATGTACATCAATTAAATATAAGTACAACTTCAGTGAGAGAGCCATGTGACCACCTGTAATCTCTTGCTCTGACTAGAGATTCATTTGTGGCCAAAATGCTTACTCTTGAAGATAGCTCAATAAATTAAGGATCTGCAATGTCCCACCAAAGTCAAGCATTTTGAGGGAATAATTTGCAAAACTTTCTAAATGCCTCTTTGATCAGAAACCTATTGAGATATTCAAAAATATTTCAGCACAGAAAAGACTCTTACTGATATAAAGTTGAACATGAAATATTAATTCTCAACATATACATATATATAGGTACAGTTATAAAATGAAACATTTAGACAAGAATGCTATTTATCAATGATATTTCAGTATTTACTTTTAAAATGTGGGTTTGTGTCTATTATTTCACTCAACAGGTTTTAATCTGTAGCAAACATTAATGTATTTGATGCTCAAAATATTCCAGATTTTGCCAGAGGGATCCACTTCAAGAAGGTGTCTATGTCCTTTTGACATATTCCCTTTATTCTTTGAGCGCTTCCTTACTTTCTGGTACAAGATGCCTCAAGCTCATCTTTTACTTTTCCTGACCCAGCCCTGGAATCAGCAATTTCTCTAAATTCTGATTCCTTATGGTAGAGAATCGCATTTAGATCCAAGTGCTAGGTGTTTTCATTGTTCCTGGGTGTTGCTGTTCCCAGGCCAACTAAATGGATACAGCTAGAGAATATATGTATGTACGTACATACATAGTTTATGTGCATATGAATGTGTGTGTACACATACATGCAGATATATATACACACACAGAAATATTATTTATTTCTATATCTATCCATATTTTCTGTCTCTACATTGCAAACCATAAGCTGACACTAAGACTTCCAATTCCAATTCAATATCACAGGATTCATTCTAGTGTTCTCCCTTCAGTTTGAGAAACCTAGCGCCTACATGCTTAATATATTTACTTATTAGATCAGTTCTCTTCATATAAAACCAGTCTTGTCCCCTCCTTGTGTGGATATCCCATTCACTCACTAAGGCTCCAATCTCTGAAGCAGGCAGCCCTCCTACACAGATGCCCTCCTTACCCCACTGGGGCACCAATACCTGGCACCACCCTCCTACACAAATGCTCCTTTCACTTTGGTTGGCTCTCATACCCTGAGTCAGACTGCCTTCCTATGTGGTGTTCTTAACCCTGCCCAGGTTCCAACATTCCATGCTAGGTCCCCAATCTTTTAAATCAGAGACTGAAGGACAATGAAGCAGACAGAAGACACAGCCTGACTGCTGCTGGTATCTCTGAGGAACATAAAAACCTGGTGCTGGATGAGCAAAAGGAAGATGCAGGAGGAATACCAACCTCTATCACATCTTCACAAACTAAGGATCTTTGCTTATCATACACGTGGAAATTAATTTTCTAACTTTTTATCTTTCACTTTGTTGCTTTCCATTTAGAAAGAGAAACAAATTTATTTTTACCCTTTTAGGTTTCTTAACATTTAAACACAAAACTCTGCCTCATCAATCTTTTTTTTTTTTTTCTAGGTTTGATTCAGTTCCTTTAATCTATACAAAATTTCAGTATAGTCTGTGACGTGAAGCTCTAATATCTCACCTCATACTTTTCCAAATATCATACTTCCAGTATAACTACACTTTGACTTCGGTAATGTCTCCTGTCTTCTGACACCTGCTTTTATATT